ATCGTTTGGTACGTCGCGCCGGCGTCCGTTTTTTCGCGGTTGAAACTCCTTTTTCGTGCGCCGAAACGTCGGCCCGGCGAAAAAATAACAGTGGTTGGCCCAGATAAATAACGGGGCAAGCTGCGAACGGGTCGAAATGTATTAAATCCGTAGCCGGCCCACGCGAGTCGGAAGGCCCGTCTGAATCATCGTGAAATTGATGATTAAAGCACGACCACCACCAGGCAGAACGGAATCGCGCGCGATATACCGCAGGCAAGCGCGGCGACTCCCATGCCAGGCCAGATGGAAACGAACGATGAAAGCGAGAAGGGGGGGGGCTATAAGAGGGGTCGAAAGAAACCCAAGGCCTTAATAACGTGCGGCGCAACATCCGCGAAATGGCGATTTTTCGTGTTCACTCGTAGTTTATCCGTCTGAAATTACGTTTACCCTCGCTGTTCGGTGGTTCTATTCGGTGGCGGGTGGCGCGCGTGCGAGGAGGACGATCCCCGACGAAAAAGGGGTGCGACGTCACCGCGACACGAAACGAGACGTCGTCGAGAGAGAGAGAGAGAGAAAGAGAGGACGCGTTATTAGCCGCGTTTAAAGTACAACTTTTCACTCTTAACTCTTGTAATTTTCTTTCTTTTCCACCCTGGTTTTTCATCAGGCGCGCGTTCAACGAATTCAAAGAAGTGTAACGAAAAGGGTGCAAGCGTGAGCGAAAGAGAGATGATGCGCGCGAGGGGTAAAAAAAATCGCGAATCAAGCCGGATTTTGTCGATAACAGGAACGTCTCGCTGCCGTTTTCTTCTCCGGTAACATAGTAATCTACGAACGGGGAGCCAATTACGCGAAGTAACCAGAAGTTCCCGGTTGCCTGTCGATACACGCCACTCGAATCACGACAAATTGACGTGGCCGGAACCCTTGCAAAGTCAACGGGAATCCCGCCCTTTCGCTTCGCGTCGATCGATTGTCGTCGTGTCAGCCGCGCGAATTAAATCCTTCTACGCTGCAAAGGAAATGTTTTTCTTTTCGCTTTCCTATTTTGATCGCACTTTCCATGGAGATTCGCACGTTTGAGTCTCGATTGAACGAACGGGAGGAAAAAATCTTTTCGAGACGGGGGATCGGGAGGGGGATCGGCTGAAATTTCCACGCCGTGAAAACAGAGGCCGGTTAATCCTCCGAAATAGTGGCTGCCACCGATAACAAGTCGTGTGTGGGCTTTGCACCTGCACACCGCTCCGCCAACAATGGGCCGTGCACTCGCTTTAATGGCTCGCCCCTCCCCCCCTCCCGATCGAGATTAAACCGTGCACACTTTGCCGATTCTAAGGCGGATCCCGCGTACGTGTATTATGCGGAAAGGAAGCGGCGTTAGCCGGGTCGAAGCGACGAGTTCACCAACGAGACCGACCAACGAACCGCCGGGTGTTTCTGTTTGATCGCAGTGAATGTGGGAAATTGGCTGCGTTCACGTTTATTGTTGAATATAGCATAGCATGCACCGTAGGATCTCGCGAGAGAAATTGAAAAGAGTTATTTACACAGCGCACAGTGCATGGTAATATTAGTGCTCGAGATGGAGTAAATACGTTATGAAATATGGTCTATTTATCTTCTAAACAAATTAAAATGCCCTCGGAATAAATATTCAAGTATTCCATCGGCGGAGAAACTCCCGTGGATATCTTTAAACAGAGTTCCCCCGCAAATGTTTAACTTAACTTACTTCGAGAAAGATCGGAAAGAATGAGCAGGAAAATTAATACTCGACCTCGTCGGAATACAAACTGCACGAAGCATTAATTAATAGGCGTAACTGATCATTAAGTCGGGGCGCGCTTCCGCGTTATCGATCGGTTCGTTACTGCGGGTTCATTTTCTCTCTGTTCTTCGTTCTGTCTCGCGTCAACGAGATTTTTCTGATAACATTGAAAAGCGGGATCGGCACCCTCTCGTTTCATCCGAAGTGGCGGAAGGTCGCATTTAATTCATCGATTTATTTTTAATGGAACGATTTTGTTTTAAGAGGCGAAAGCTGCTTTCCGCCGTTAAGACGATTACAGTTCACTTTAAATCAAACAGCTAGCGAGCCACGCGAACAACGGAACGTTGTCCGGATTAGAATTCGAGCGAAAGCATCTTTGAAGTGATTGAAGATTTGGAAATAAGTAGAAAACTCGGCGGAGAGACGCAGCTTCACTGCGCGTCGTCGTCTAATCCGGCAATAAGGTACCCTCTAACGAAGAAAGCTCTTGTGAAGTATTGCTCGGAAAGAAGTGGAATCGGAACGTGGAATTCCTCTCGAAAGTTTTTGCTAGTTGATGGGACGGATACTTTCAGGTTCGAGCGTGCTCGAGAATAAAATGCCACCCAATCAAATTCTGCTGGACACGTTGGTTTCAGTTTATTCAGTTTCCGTGATTTTGTATTACAATATCGAACGACGAGGTAACAAAAAAAAAAAAGAAAAAAAAGAACACCTCGCTTAGGAAGATTTCTAGTGCGCTTGAGTTTAGACTTCAAATTTTCTGCATGACACTCGTATCTCTCTGCACGTACATACCGCGGTACCATTAACACGAAATAATCGCGCGTACAACGTTGCGAGTACGAGTTCATCCGCTCTACCACGATCGCATACTGCGCTTTTAGAACTACTGTGAACCTCTGTTTCTACTAACTCATTGTTCTGTTGTCATTTGCTAACACGCGTACCCCGCGAATGTCGAACATCTGTTGCTACTAACATCCTCCCGGAACGCTGTCCGCGACGCGTTTGCAAATAACGAAATACAAAAATCGAACGAAACAGTGAAACGCTTGATTTACGAACGTTCTCTGTCCTCGATTGTAAATACCATCCGGAGTTTCATAATTCGAGCTGCGAGTGAAAGAAACGTCGAGACTAAATCCTGTAAATTGGAGGACAGACAGACCTGTTCATCGCACAGTTCATTGACGCCATTGATTCTCGGTAAAAGAAATCCATTTCATCGAATCTTCGTGACCTGTCATTGCCCGCTAGGGTGACACTTCTGCTCACGTGACGATTGCAGGTGCAATTATCGTAATTCCTGTTCAGTGGACGTACGCAGCGAGATTTTCGAGGAGGACCCGTGTCCCGGAACCGGAAAGTACATCGAGGCGCAGTACTATTGCCTAGGTTGGTGGCCACACTTTTCTTTTCGACCGATGAAGAAACATTTCTTCGGTCGACGACGAGCTCGCGACTTCCTCCAAGATTCGACGCGAAATTCAACACATACGAGAGTTGAAAATTAACAAAGGGTTGTTATTCAGTTAATCTGAAAAATTATCTGAAACATCTTGGAGAAAGTCATGGGCCTCGGGAGGCGTAAAAAAGGGACGAAAGGTGGGAATTTCTCGTCGAAAAAGTCTCTCCATTCGCGTATCCCCTCCACTCGAGCATCGACGACGGTAAGAGAAAAGGGACAGGATCCATGGTTCAGTACACTTTGGTAAGGGTGTACGTCTGTCATGTTAACCGACCAATCGCAACCCAGGTGCAACGACCAGCAGAACTGCAGCATTGTTGCATCGACGCTGCAATTCGGCGATCCCTGTCCCAACACGCACAAGTACCTCGAGGCGCATTATCGTTGCCTGTCCGGTAAGTAAGACTCCGCCATTTTTGTACGCGCCCTTCCCTTCGTAATATCTCTGTACCCTGTATCGTTTATTCTACGAGCGGTCTTCCGTAGATACCGGCGAACGATTGCATAGGCGTCGACTTCGCGGTCATTTTCAGTACATTATCATACCTTTCCAAGATCATAGAAGAAATCTTCCACCAATATTAGAATCACTCGCTTTTTTTTTATATCGTTTACTTTACGTATCCTTATTAATTAGTCACTTAATTCTTACTCGTGTTGTTATCAATAACTCATAAGTTAAAGTACGTTAAAGTAAAGTTAATTAAAATCGATCGATCGTTTGTTTCGATGTATTTGCAAAATAATTCCGAGAACTATTCGTTCACAGAGTGCGTACGTTGAAAGAATATTTTGCTCTTTTAAGTCCCTTCTTTGAAATCAGTTGATCTTTTTGAGACAGGTAAAACCATTGAATCTCTCTTTTTATATTTGATACTGATACTGATCGTGCGAAAAAAATCAGTCGACTATTTTTCTTTCTCTCTTACCTATGCAATTCCAAGAAACGATCGTACACTTCCGGAAGGATTCTCGCGTTCCAACGCTCGACATTTGCTTTTTCTTTTTTTTTTTTTTTATCGGGATACATATCGTGAACGGATAATAACCTGATACGACCGACCGCGAGAATCGATTAGAATTTCCCGAAGCCGGCGCTTATGATTCACGTTGCCCACGTAACTGCGAGCCCGTGTCCCGATAAAGATCTTCCAGCGGCTTGCATCGGCTATGCACTCTCCAGACAGACGGAGTATAAAGCGGAGAAAAGAAAAGATCGCGCAGGGAGAAGAGAACGAGAGAGAGAGAGAGAGAGAGAGAGAGAGAAGAGGAGAAATGGAAGAGTTCGCGAAGACGTGATCTTTGCGATCGAGAAATCGATCGTAGGGATCGGTAACGCGGCTGCACATCTAACTTTTCTGACGTGTTTCGTATCGTAATGAAACTCTTCTACAGCCCAATAGAAGAGTTTCATTAAGAGGAAACGGCAGAGAGAGTGAAAGAGAGAAAGAGAGAGAGAAGAGGAGCAAGAAAGATTACTGCGAGCATCGATCGTTACGTTCGATGATGCTGCGATTCGATCATGACGAAACGACGCCACAACTGCGAATCTGTATCACGATCTTTTATTAATTTGCCTTTGATCAATTATTAATACTCAATTCAATCTTGCTGTTTACGTACGTCCAATAACATAACGTAACGTAATTGTAATGAAAAATTGTACTTGTAAAACGCAGGAATATCTTAATATCTTTCGATTAGATACGTGTCTCCATTGAGTGTCTTCACACGTGAGTGCTATAAAATGGTAACTTCAGTATCGCAGGTGTTAGTGTTCGATCACTTTACGATGTTCGAAGCAGACTTAACTAGCGGTGAACGAATGAAGGCGACTTTCCAGACCTTTTGGCGTTAACATCCACCGGTTACGATCTACCAAAACTACCAGACGACACAATCACTTATTGGACTATAAACTGTCAACCCTCTACTCTCTCCCTGGCTCTCCTCTCTCTTTCTCTCTCTCTCTCT